GACGGTGTAATCGACAATTCTTAACTCCAAATTTTTGGGCGGCCTATTTACGTTTCGCGGTAATGGAATAACATTTAATGTGCGTCAACTGATTCATACACAGAAATTCCTTTGTTGAAAGCACACAGCTGAAGTCCATGAATAAAACTTGCGTAAAATGGTATAGCACGAACACACCATAAGGACACGAATCATTAGCATGACAGGATGCTTGCGTAATTTGGTCCCAAATGAGAATGTTTGAGCAGCAGGCAACACTTGTCCGCGAATCAACCGAATTAATGCGCGTAAGTTGGCTTGAACAAATACATTCAAGGCTACGATATGGACTCGCATATAAAACGGGACGAAACACGAAAAGCACATAATATTTAAACTGTAAAATACAGCCTTATATAAGGCAATTCTGAAAATGAAATGAATCCAAAGAGCAAAACCAAAGTTATTAAATGAAAAAATCTGCATACGTCGAGTATTTTCCAGTGGGTTGAGGCATAAGGCACACGGAACTCCGACTTGGTTCCGAAAGCACCAACAGCAGAAATATTTTGCATCCTTGTTTCCTACGTTCCGATAAACATTTTATAAACGACGTGAACCAATGTGCGTCACATGTCACGTGACCACAGTAGAGGAGGGGGCGGGGCCAGGGGAGAGTACACGAAATAAAACACCCACCACATCCTAATAAAACAAGGTCATCGCGTCATCAGTCATCTTTACATTATCTAACACTTTACTTGCTCTGTTCCAACACCAAATGCCTAGTCCCCGCACGAAGTAATTCAGGGTTCATCAACGCTGAACACGAAGGACAACGCCCGTGTTAAACTCTGAGCTGAAATAGCGCAGTTCCTTCTGAAAATTGCCAGCACTTTTCCTTGGAGCCTGAAATGTACGCTGCCGGTCACTTACGTTTTCAAAAGAATCGAAAGATAGGCTTTCTTCGCTTTTCGGCTTGAGTTACGACACTTGCATGTCAGCATATACGTAGAATTAGCCTATGACTTCACACTTTAATTAAAATTAGGGGATGGGTTAGGCGAGGCATGTAGCATAATTAAAAAGGTAAAAAAATGTTTTTGGAAAACCCGAACTGAAGCGATCACTTGCAAGACATGCACAGATATAAATACATTAAACTGGATATTTATGAAATAGGGCGACCGGGTCTTGCGGACCGGATTAAACAGGCTCAGAATAGGGCCCAGTGTATGGCTCTTTTGAACACAGCAGTTTAATGAAAGGTGGGTTACCTAAGTTGTTCGGAATTTTGAAAATAAACTCAAAGCAACCGGTAGAAATCACACCTGACGTTAACGTCCGACTTCAACTACACCATTTTAATAACCATGTTCACAGCCCTCTCATATAAATATGAGAAAAGAGCGAAGGCTCGGTAAAAGACCAGCCGTAAAAAATTCGGGCATAAAAACACGGCAATTTTCAGAACAACCAACTGCTGAGATGCGAAAACGCTACTGGATCCTCAGGCAAAATCCGGGATAGTACGTTGAATTACGTCACGACCTCTTCCTTCCACATTCTTTCCATCTCATTATTCACTATCATCCTCTCTTTCTACGCTATATGGTCAGAGCTACTGAAAAAGCGTAGTTACAAGGCTATAAATAAATAAAACGCACTAGGAAAGCACGTATTCCACAAATAAGTACACCTTCCCGCCTGTCACATCTTGAGGAATGACGGCGGACGTGTTTTTACATGCGCAACCGAAAATTCTACCTACACCACCTTACAATAGGCGTTATCTTCACACAGCGCCGCCGGGACGATAAAACTTTGCCGCACATACACTCCGCCCATTTCCGTGTATTTGTCCGGTATCCTGGGAGAAGGAAGTGTTAAATACGCTGAAAGACATCACCTGCTATTTATTTTTGGCCTACTTTACTGGACGACGCTGCCTGCAGCTCGGATTATACGGTGTCGAATGATGGAATATTTGGGAAGGGTACGGAAGATGCTGTCTCAGGCTCATTTAATGTGTTCTCCCACAATTTGCCTGGAGGGGTGAATAAAATCACTCATGATGGTTGGCCCAAGACCACGAAGGGAATACGCTTAGTTACGTGTCAAAGGGGCATTTTCAGAAACCGCGGGGTTTATATCCGGAGTAAGTAAAGGTAGACCGCAAAGCGTTTGTCTGAAAATGATTTTATTGTAGCACGTCTTTTCTCTTCGTACGGATCGGAACTCGGAACCATAAATCATACACAACACCCCATTTAAGGGAAAAGAATTACTCTAATACTTCTAACACTCCAATCAAGACACCAGACGCCTTCCTGTGTAAACAGATGTCAGCATATTCCGTACAAGCTACTCTAGGTAAAGAAAGTTTCAAAAAAATAACACAGCCAATACGTAGACATACACAACAACAATAATGCTAAATTCAGACAGGTTAGAAAATGAGCGCACAGACAACTTTGGCCCTCGCTATTAACGCCAGATGTCAGGTTTTCCGAGGATCAATGACCCGTACTTGGGCGGGGTGTCTGGGGTCTGTCCACATGAGTGATGATTGCATCACGAAGGAAACCCCTCACTTTCAGGGTGGTTGTCCTGCTGGTAGGGATTCCCCAACAAGTAACTCACTCTCAGACATAAGTGAAGTTCTCGCCATTGTCCTATCTGACTTAAACTCAAATTCGCCCAACATCAAATTTAATAAAAACCCATTCTGCGGTTCTCAAGGCCTAAGAGGAACGATGGATGGATGGATGGACGGACGGACACGGCGAAGCCAAGCTAAATGTTGCAGCTTTAAACCGTGATCACACATAAAAATTAGGTAAGATTTGAGGTTTTCACGCCGGTGTCTCAAAATGGCCGTCTTCCGGGTTGCTGTGCAGTGTAGTCTGGTGTAAGTTTACAGACGCTTCAGAGGTTCTTGTTGCCTCCACAGCGGAACAACCCATGATCAATTAACAACCTGACAGTTGGCCATACAAACAGAATTTATTAGAATTTTTTGTATATTATGGGGACATCAACCAAAATACGTAATTAGCAAAATGTTCCCCCCCCCACCAAGGACATAACTCTGCACAAGTACTTCCATCTACAAGACTTGGGCCACCAAACTGCAAAATGTTCTGATGATGATGATGATGATGATGATGATAAACTCACAGGTATGAAATGCCGTCTTAAAAGACTTGGCGTGGTTCAATAAATCGCATAACATGATACGTCTAGGTCAAAAAGAAAAACCAGACAAGTACTCACCAAAACATCGTAACAGATCTCCCTCAATTCTTTTTCCACCTTTTCTCTGTATTCTTTGGCCATCTGTTGCTTTCTCTCTGAGCCTTCTGTCTTTTGCTCGATCGATGAGATAACCCTCCAGGAGGATCGTCGGGCACCAACAACATTTTTGTATGCCACAGACAAAAGGTTTCTCTCCTCGTTGGAAAGTTCCACTCCTGTTTCTGTAACAGCCTTCATCGCTGCAGCCATGTCATCATAACGCTCTGCCTGCTCGGCAAGCTTTGCCCTCTGAACCAATTCTTCCTTGTCAACAGACATTTGTGTATGGTGGGTTTTGTGTGTGGTTTACTGGAAACAAAGAGAAAGTTTAATAATTAATTCCTGATGACGAATTTCGACCAAAATATGTCAGGCAGTGCATCTCTCAGTCTAGAAAAACAGCAGTGGGTCACCACGAGGCTTAGTTTATCCAGATAAGAAAGGAAACCAATATCAAAACCAAATATAGATCGTGACTACGAATCTTAAACCACCAATAAATTTAATGCAATTTACTTACAAGTGGAATTATTATACTATTGTAAATTCAAGTACGCCTAACACACTTCGAAGTGAAAAACACGTAAAAAAACAAATGCTTAATTCTACTAAAATATCTACCAATACAAATTTAAATTGATACATTTCATTTTCACTGGCTGATTAATAATCCACAATGCACTGCAGAACGCATAGCAGGCATGAATTTCAAAACGATGGTGGTCCGTATTCCTATTTTTACCGAACCGTCGTTTAAAATACCTTCCCACGAACACCAAAATTATTAATAAAGCTGTTTAAAGTACTGCTACGAGACGATGACACGGATTGGGTGGGGCTTCACGGTAAACTAGACCAGGGTCACGTGAACTGTACCAGTATAGCACCAATAATGAGGGAGTGCACGGCATTGGTTCCTTAATTGGAAATTAGTCTCCCACAACGTCACCACGCACGGCGATATCCTGAATAAAACTAAGTAAGATACTGAACTTGGCCCTTAGAAACACAGGTGTAGGAATTTATAAACACTTACAACAAGAACCAAAGTCTCTCGATCTCCTGTTTCGATAAAAATGTTTTTTTTCACACAATCACCAAAATCCGGGAACAGCTCTTTGCCTAACACATTACACTAACAAATCATACACAAAACCATTGAAAACGTATTTTCTCTCGCCTTAGAAGACACTACATTAAAAGGGCAAACATTTGTTCCCCAGTTCCGTTCAGTACGATGCTGTAAGAGCAAGCAAGCAGACAGACAGGCGCGGACCAGACGTGACACTCCCGGGGAACGAAAAGTGTGAACCAACCCAGACCGAGCTTCCACGGATCGATCGCCCACCAGAAGCACGTCGGACCCCTCCCAAGCTCTGCCAACACACGCGTAAGAAAAACAATTAGTACCAACCACACAGCAAACACTTCAAACATCCCCCATTTCCAACAGACGAAATAGGTGTCATTTATTGGAAAGGTCGAGGCCGAGTGATTAGCACTTCTTCTTCGCCAGCCAGAACGTGCGATTCGAACACAATTTGATGCAATCACACGACAAACTAGTAGATATTACTTCGTTTAGAAGCACTGAACCTAAATCCTCACTCAGGAATCTTACGAGTTTCTGTTCTATATAACGTCACGAAAAAACCACAGCAAATGAAATGGAGGAGAAAGCCGAGAAGCTTCCTTCACATTGCAATCGAAGAAACCGTGACTTCTAACTCCAGAAGTGAGTCTTAAAACTTATGGAGTGCGATATCTTTATGCAACAATTTATTTTTCTGGAGTACAGTAATAATTTCAGGAGTCTTACCTACATTTAAAACTGAAACAGTACGTATGTACGCACGCAAGCTTATAGCTTAAACAGTCTTCATACTCCCCGCCGCGAGATCAAATCCTACGTAGGGACAAACCAATTTGCCCGAAACTCAGTGTGCTTAGTTGTTGAAACTAGAATGAGAGGTAAGAAGAAAACTGTCCTTGGTTCGAGTCCCGATTGTTTTCTGTAGCTCAAAAAGCAAACACGATAAGAGCCCGGTCAATTTTTTTTTGTTTCGCTGGGAAAATTACAGGAACGAAGGCCACAACACCGAACACGTCCTGCGTTTGAGTTCCAGTAAAGACGGTATCTTAATTTTCTTCGCAGAATGCATACGGCATGTGACCGACCACTTTCTTAGCCAGGTAACTACGCTAATTATCAATACCTCCTGCGAGTCTTCAGAAATATGTGCGTCATGCTTTGTGAATGCAGACTTCACCTCGCGTCTGGCACATGCACAATGACTACCATAGGTGGGCATTCCCTTTCAGTTCTGAGGGCAGAAGTTAGGCTTTCTTAGTCTCCCATCTGGTTATGCTCATTTAACCAGACCCTCTATTATCCTATTTTGAGTACCTATCGACTTCGCCAGAAATCGACAGCCAGCTGTTCTCTTCGCATCTGTGAAGACCAAATTCAGTTCCGACACCACGCCGTTGTCCCGAGTCTACCCATGCAAAGGCAGAATTCAACATGTCTATCGTTAAGATAAATACAGCAAGTTCCCTCAACACAATAACACAAGTGACGGAATTGCGCTACTCCGTAGCCAGTGACTCCATAAAGTTGTTAAAATGATCTGCAAATGTGTCTGAAAAGCCAACTGATAAGCAAATGCATGGCTGATAAGGAAAAACGTGAATCACAAACGTATGAACAATTTTGTTAATGCACTTTACGCAGTGGCTAATGGCGTTGGTTGCGAATTACGGAACTGTTCACTTAATTAAGGTAATGGAAACTTCAAACCCAACTTTGGCTGCACGTCGCATGGCAACGCTACGCTGTGCTAGTCTTTTGTGCGTATACGGGTTTCCTCTTAATACGAACATTTAGTTTATTTACTAATTAGCTGCAATCCGACTGAATGCACGCTTACAGCAGGCAGCGTGTTGCGCCAACGAGATCACATCAACTCCTTCCCACATTTTATACCCAGGCACTCATCGTTGGCTCCCCACCTTTCACGAATCCTGAAATTTCAGTAGTCTGCACAACAGACCACCAGTGGCACCAATGTTCGGCCAGACGAATCCAATCCACACCGTCGCACCTGTTCTTGATAAAATGATTTTCAAGTCAATAAATCTGTATTCGTCGAAACAAAAATGTCCGATACAGAATTGCACAGGCGGGTAGAAAAACTGTACGTCAACGATTTAAAAAATGGGTAATTCATTTTTGTTTACTAGTACAGGTTTTCACAAAACCAAATTCGTCACACATAACCTCAAAGTTTCGCACTATCACCAGCTAGCTTGCAACTCACGCAAAGTATATTGAAAATCTTGTCAATTCATTCAGGGTACTGGGAATGTTTTCTGCAATAGCAGACCGACATATTCTTAATTAAGTTACTTCACATTTTATGGAGCCCAAGGTTTAAAACTGTGTTCACAACACCAAACAAAATTTTAAGAACGCGTAGGGGTGTAAGCAGGGTCATAAAATCCCCTGGAGTTGGAAAAACAAATATCACTGCAGTACCCACTACATACACGCCGAATTTTTCATATTACCAAAATGAAAAACTGTATCTAGTTCAACCGCTGTATTCTAACTTTTGTTCCCGTTATCAAATCGAGAACAACCTGGAAATGTAAAGGGCATACGCCAACTAACACAGGACTTAACATTCCTCTACAATTCGTAAGCACCTATATATTACTTTCTTCCTCCCGACATTGCGCGAATAGTACGTCGTCGAAACAATGACGACAATCTTAATCAAAATTAAGCTAGAACTGGTAGTTCCAGCGTCATTTGGATGAAGAACATAAAGATTTCTGAGAGATTTATTCTGAGATAGACCACAAAATATCAGAGTAGACCACGCCCATTTATAACACATCTAGCCTACAGCACGTTACGAGCAATACGGGTACAGGCCACGGTAATTAAACCATTATGACGTTCAAGATTTATAATTCTTGGCATATTTCATTTGGCCCAGTACTGTATTTCGTAAAACATGCACGTCTACGGCGACAGCTTCATAGTCTCACTCAATGGAGAAGGAACATTAAAAGCTATGTGCTTCAATTCCAAACGCATTTTAGATGCAAGTACTAAGCCACCTATAAAACAAACCTCAACAGATAAGACAACGAAAAAATAAATTGACGTGTCTGGATTTTTACCGACATCTGCAGTGGGTTGGTCCATCTTTCGTCTCAGCAAAGGGAAGCTGCAGTTACAAGGATGCGGAGTACGGGCAAGAGCACGAAGGGGTTGAAAGTCTAGGGGTGGTGCCCACGGCGTCACACTACGCACACTCGAAACTGGTAGCCATCGATTGCAATCTACCGGCCCGTAGTGACAAACAACGGACACGCGCAATGTCCACATTTAAAGATAAAGGATAATACGCACACAATGTTACGTATTCTATCCAATCCTGTAAACGACGTAACAAATCAACAAGCTCACGGCGCATATACCAGGAAAAATACACCTGAAATAGTCACGTGAATTGCGCAAAATAAGGAAAATTTCTTTCTCTTCGAAGGGAATGCACCCGTCCTTACTTTAGTACTAAAACCATGTTTTGTTCATTAAGGAGAAAAAAACACAAACCTCCAAATTTGCTAGTACGGGTGCAGCAGCCATGTACCTTACGGGAGCCACTCAAACTAAAACTTAATGGTAGCTATGTGCCCCACCTGCTTCAGTAATCAATAACTCATCATTTTGTATTAATGGTTTTCATGATTCTCAATGTGAACAGGGATTACTTCCTTAAACAGCATAAACTACAGGATGTACATAACAGCAAAGAGTTGTTTTCTTTGCAGTATGGACTGAACACACAAGTATTAATTATTTGGGCGAGCTTCGGCTTCAAAGGATTAATAAAACTGATACTAGACAATGTGAAAGATGCTTGTAGAAATAAACATTACTCAAAGGCACGGGACTAGATTATGTGCTCTATGGGGGAAAAAACGTAATGCAGTATGGAACAACATAAATTTTGTATGATTATAAATCTCAAGTTTTAAGACTTTATGATGGTCAAACACACCAGATCCATATGGCATAATATTTGCGCCTACCATCCAGGTAAGTCAGCTGTGGCTGAATATGGCATCAATCTGGGTCATCACATCCTGCAAAAGGTCACCATATTCTGGCCAAGAAATCCAGGTGTTTGGACATGATTACCAGGGAAGCTACTATTCAAGCTCCAGCCTCACAAGAACAGGGAATGTGGGTTCTCCCTTGGCAGGTCATGGAAGCATCTTATTCACACCCTGAAGAAATGGAATAATGTTCTAAGAACAAGATATATATACTTGCTCTTAACCTGATCTTATTTTCAGAAGGTCCTGGAAAGAGCTGCCATTTCTTCATAAGCAAGTTGAAAACAAAGCTGCAAAAATGCAACTACTAGCTTCCTAATGTCTGTCTGTCCACAAGAAATAACTCAAGAATCATGGAATATATATTTATGACATTTTATACTAGGAGTTTTACCAAAATGTGTTTATATATTTCAATGGTGGTGAACATTGGACAACAATTAGACACTTTCATGAAGACCAACATGCGTTTCTGAGCACAAAAGTGACCTTCAAAATTAATGGGGGAATCCCCAGTCAGATGGTTGCCAGACACCTCATCCACCCAATCAAGGAGGATCCACATATCACTCAGCCCACTCATAGGTCAATAACCTAAGATAACTCCATCATCAATGACACCATTTGCAAAGGTCAAACAGTTCCACACATACTATTTATGTTACATCAGAAAGACAGAAATTATGATATTAAGAAAGGGAGGGAAGATGCTGCCAAAGACACTGTGCTACAAGTGGTAAATTATAAAAACTACAAATACCTTGGTATAAGTCCTCATACAACTGAAACAGTATTCGCTTTTCTCATAACACAAGAAAGCTTTCACATACAAAACAAAAACTCCCTCTGTAAATGATATGGTACAACACAAGTTAAGATGGCATATGCTGAGGACGATAAACATGCACAGTGTGCACAAGTACCACTTATCAACATTACCGTGGACAAGATTAGGTAGGTAGAAAATGACTATTTACATAATAGTACCGTCTTCCGCCACATTTCCTTTCTACAACATTTCATTGCTGTAGTTTCTTTGTGTTTTCTATTAGCAGGCTTCTAAATGATCCTATAATGCATGTAAATGTTCACCACACACTTCCTGTACTAATGTGTCCCACAACTGTTCATACAAGCAAAGTTTAGTGTGAATTTTGGGACAAAAAGTAATTCTGGATAACAGGGAAAACTTTTAAAGCATATATTTCTGAGCCAAAGGTATCTACTTTCCACCAATTCAATCTTTATTGAAATCCTTGACAGAAGTCTGATAATCTCTCCTCATTGGTGTCCTTGTACACAAATATAAGATTATACTAAGGCACATATATCTTCCAAAAATTTCCCATCCACTCCATTATCACAGACTCTTCCTCAGCTGTGACAACCATTAAGCCTTAAATAACAAATGACTCAGATGCCAATATTATTCTCCTGTGTTAAATATTGTATTCCCCGGTTATGTAAGTCATTCCATTCAATTCACTTACTCCTGCTACATATAACAGTTTAGGTTCAATTAAAATTAAGTGTAAGTTTTGTGCTGCCAACATTGAATGACAAAGGCAAGGGCATCCTCATTTTCAAAATCACCAACAATTTAACCATATACTTAAAAAGTCTTTCAAAGCCTGCTGGGCCAAGTTGTGAGATAAACACAAAACTTGCACACATTGTGATCATAGTTCAATGTATGTAATATGCATCTCAACCATTTCAACTAGATGTCACAAAAACAGCAAGCTGAGTGCCATGACTCAAAACTTTCAACAAGATACTTAAGTATGTATGCTTCCTATCCAAATCGGCCAATTACGACAATTACCAAAACTTCCAAAGATACAGTAATCCGCAATTTGTTCATTTTCCCAATGGCAGGCATTGCTCACAATAAAACTTTGGAAACCATTTTCGCGGCTTTTTCTACTAAAAGTAACCACTGCATAATCAGACACAACACCACAGTCTGTACGAAAGGTTAATTCATGTTAGCAACATATTAAACGATATACGATACCAAATGCAAACACAAAATAAATTCCTGTACATGCAGACATCCTTGCATAATTATCAAACTCGTTATTTCATTCTGAACAGATTCCAACAGTACGGTAAGCTGCACGACACAAAAGCAGTTTTGTTACTTACAGCCAAACATTATTTGAATTAAAACAATTTCATATAATTCTTAACCTCTAACAGCAACGAAGCAAAGATTTATAAACAAACGAAGGTCGATTCAACATCACGTGAAACATAATAAAACTTGCACCTTCAACAAGTCATCTTCTATCACCTTCACAATTCGGTTACGAAACTATTATTTGGTATGAATATACAAATAAAGAAATATTTACCACGTCAGTATAAAATGTTGCTATTTTTTAGCCGGTAATTTGACAAAATGGCGATTCTGCATAGGGCACTCCTTCAATGCGTCACACTAAAAGCAACCCGTGCCAAGCTTTCTTTTTCACAGCCACTCTATCACTATTAGTTACACCAAAGTAAATAAAACTATTCTGTCATGCATTTCTGTTTTTTACTTACGATTTATAAAAATAACGTAGGAACTAAGCCCTTGGAACTACGATCACAAATATCTACACACTATAACAATCTTCCAGTTCCCGACAGATTCCTCGGCTCGAAAGAGGGGGCTACACCAGCGGATTTGGAAGTACTAAACCAATCATTATATTATCAGAAATGATAATATTTAGGTAAATAATTGTTCAATAATATATAGTAAAAATCAAATCTATGTTTAATTTATACATTAGAAACAGTGAAATAGTTTACTTAATGAATATGTAATTGGGTTTTATGTTGTATGACGTGAGGTTTGTTCAGAAAGAAGTGCTGATCAATCAGCAATATTTTACCGGGGAGTTTTGCATTTATTTTACATTCTGATATAAAAGGTGATCTGAATATAAGATGAGAATTTTTTGAGTGATAAACCACCATAAATAATTACAAGATCCAATAATGTGTAAAACTTCACATAGATATAATTGATGATATTGGGCAAACACAGAATTGGCATGGCATTCGTACCAAAAGTATAAAATGCAAATTGCTAATTTGGCAAACACACAGGGACATGTCAAAAATCTCACTTTTTTCTAATAAGCTTACGTTTATTTTTTTATCCATTATCGCCCTACTTCAATGTGCAGAGTACATATCCTTTTCAGTTATTCAGAATAGTATCTACAACTTTCAGGTTAGAATAAATCGCTAATATCCCGTGCCAACGATAAGGGATATATTATATTAAGCATTGGCTACACTGTTTCAGAATCGAATTCCCAAGCATTACCAACATCAACTAAAATAAATGGAGGACCTGATTGTTCCTATAGAATTGCACGTGTTTTGACGATTGCAACATAGTAAAGTATAAGAAATACTGTCCGTTGAAAAGCCATGCCTAAGTCGAAGCGTGACAAGAAACGTATGTATTGTAATGTAAGACGTATTGATTAGTGAACACCTAATCTTTGTTTAGTATGGTACTTCAGCTAATATTTACTGATTAATGTGTTTCAGTATCGTTAACAAAAACAAAGAAGAAAGGATTGGGTTTTAAACAGCATTTGGTTGATGACATTCGAAGATGTGTTCAGGACTACAAGAGAATCTTCGTATTTTCTGTTCAGAACATGAGGAACTCAAAACTGAAAGACCTCCGTACAGAGTGGAGGCACAGTAGGTATGCATTTTAATTTATTTTTAGCCTTTGTGAGTTACAGGTCGTTGTGATTGTTTTTAGAATCACAACGACCTGTGTTTTTAGAATTATGTTCTATGGAAAAGAAGTGTGCACCGGGTATTGGTTGGGAAGCCTGAGGGGAAGAGACCACTGGGGAGACCTAGACATAGATGGGAGGATAATATCAGGCTGGATCTATGGGAGATAGTTGAAGGAGACTGGATTTTGTTGGCCCAGGACACGGTCTGGTGGAGGGCTTTGGTTAATTCGGTGATGAACCTTTGGGTTCGGTAAGCCATCTAGTTAGTTATTATGTTCTATGTAAAGTGATGTCCAAAGTTTTCTAGATATCTGGACATGTCAGGCACGTATGTAAATTTAAATTATAAATTAAGTTCTTGAAGCATATTATTGCTTGTAGGACTCATAAGTACACCTCACAACTTCATCAAATTTCTGTGAGTTCTACTTTTCACTTATTGCTGTTATCAGTTGCCATCATCATGATGCTTTTATGGTTATGCTATGGCTCTGCCAGTTAGTCACTTGTCTTACTACCATGGAGGCATGGGTTCATGGCCATGACAGTCAATGTGGTGTTTGTGATGGACACTTTGGCATTGGGACAGGTTTCTCTCAGTGTTCCAATATGGCTGTCCGAGTAGCAGAATATCGTATCTTATGATATTATAGAAGACCTTGAGATGGCAGCTAAAACATTTTGAGATACAAAAGACTGACTAATAAGGTGTTGCTCCAGGTGAACATGAAGCACATTTAGAAGCATAAAATACAGACCTCCATTCCTATACCAAGAGCAGTGCTTTGTTTTGACTATGTGGCTCTATGTTTACCTGGAATAAGAGTTTATAAACAACAGACTCATGGCTGGATGAAGCTTGTAAATTTTTCTTCATTCATAACTATTTTGAATTAATAATAAGAACAACACAAAAAAAGATTGAAGTGGGCGCATAAATATACTGGAAGGAAAAGCATAGCCTTATCTATGAAGCTATATCAAACTTCCTGAGTAGCAGCAGGACTGTGTTAAGTGATATGCTGCATAGTTCAGAATCTCTTACTGATGTTGGACACATATGATGAGCAAGATAGTCAACATGGCTTTCTGTGGCTGGCATTGAAGGATTAATTTACAATAACAAACCTGATTCAGACCTGTAGTTTAATTAAGACATAGAGGAAGACTGTGAAAGTATATCTTCACATGAGAAACTATATTTTTTAACTTTACTAGTACTTTTACAAGAATCTGTTGGTAATGTTATAACTGAATCAAAACTTCTTAGATGTAAATGTGTTACTATACCATACTTGTTATGAAGCTGTTAATACAAAGCTTACTAATTATTATTTGCAAATAGCAAGGGTGTGGATAATTGATTGTAAAAATATGTTGGAGCTAATGTGTGGCTGGTTGCAGTTTATCAGTCCTGGACAGAACTTGGCATTTTATACAGATGTGGAACTTTGTATCTTTGGGTGATGTCAAGGAAATTTTAATCAGAAAACCCAAAGTGGGTGGGAGTCATAATGACTTGGGAGGATAATACTAAAATAGGATTCTGGATTCAGCTGGCTCAGGACAAAGTTCAGTGTCAGGTTGTACCAATGCTAATGAACCTTTGGGTTCCATGGAGGATGGGAATTTCTTGATCAGCTGAACAAGTGTTAATTTCAAGAAGGGCTGTGATATAGTTAATATTATATTTATTAAGTTATACAGTTAACTTATTTTTCAATATCTTTGCAGATTTTTCTTTGGTAAAAATAAAGTTATGGCTTTAGGTCTTGGTAAGACAAAGGAGACGGAAGCTCAGGATAAACTGCATAAGGTGACAAAACATCTGATTGGTCAATGTGGTTTACTCTTCACAAACAAAGAACCTGAAGAAGTTCTTGAGTGAGTATTATCCTGTTTCTAACCAGGAGACTATGAAGGCATTGTATTTAATAATAATAAGAAGAAGAAGAAAATGCACTGGAAGACATTAATAACAGAAGTATTATTTTTGAGTGTGACTGTGTTGATGTACCAAGCTACCAAGTCAGTAATAGATAACTTAGTACTCGACTACTGGAGTTATTGGACTGCATGAACTAAAAGTAAATTAGCTTAACTTCTTTGTAGAAACTGCCCCTCCAAATACCAAATTCTGTTCATTATTTGCAGACATATGGGCACAATAAACATCATCCCCATAATGCATTAATTTTCTGCACTTTATATAAAGAATGCAGAATGTTCTACACTCTTAATCCATTTGTGGTACAAGTTCTGGGCAGTAAGACATTTATATTGGCTTATGTTTCAGTTGGTTTCAAGACTACAGTGAAAGTGACTTTGCTAGGGCTGGAAATGTTGCTACAGATACTGTGACGTTGCCTGCTGGTCCCCTCCCCCAGTTTCCACATTCTATAGAGCCACATCTTCGTCAGCTTGGAATGCCTACGAGCCTGCAGAGGGGTGTGGTCACAATGCTTTCAGAGTTTACTGTCTGTAAAGCTGATCAGGCACTTAAACCAGAACAGGCCAGAATACTAGTAAGAAAAAACAAACATTGATTTTAATCTACTGTGCCATACACGGTTAATTTTCTTATGCAGGAATATTAATTATTTTTCTCTTAATGTCAAGATGAGGTTGCATTATATTAAGCTTGTAAACATGAAACAGTTTAAATGCATGTCATATGCTTGGAATGAATGGTTCAGGGTACATTTATAAACACAGAAGTTCATCAGGACAAAGTAGTGTTTTTTATATAATTTTACCATGTGTGGTTCTTTGCAGAAATTACTTGGGCATCAAATGGCAGAATTCAAAATCACAATGAAATGCATGTGGTCAAAGGATGGGAAATTTAAAAAGTTTGAAAGTAAAAAGAAAAAGAACAAGAAAACATCAAAATCTCAGGAAGACATACTTGATGTAGATATGAAAGAAGTGGATGACAGTGTAGATGTTGGAATTGAAGTTGGTGATGGAAATGTGGATGCTGATGTTGAAGTTGAAGGTGAGTCTGTAGATGCTGCCATTGAAGTTCGAGATGAGACTGTGGATGCTGCCATTGAAGTTCGAGATGACACTGTGGATGCTTCTATTGAAGTTCGAGATGAGACTGTGGGTGCTGCCATTGAAGTTCAAGATGAGATTGTGGATGCTGGTGTTGACATTAAAAGTGACAAGAAGTGACAATGTTACTTGGGCAGTTGCACCTGGATTATAATTAATAGGAAAGGACAAAAAGTCAGGAGCATTTATCGTGTGAGTTCTGTGGTTGTAACACAAGTACTGTCACTTAAATATGTACTGCACTTTTTCCCAACCTATTTCTTTCATTGTAATTATGTCAGTTTTTTCATTTCAATTTTGTAAATAATTTGATTAGAATAAACTGAAGGTAAGAAATCAAGGAACTGTTTTTCCCTATATGAATGTGAAATAGTTTTGCAGCATTGTATACCATGAAACTACAATATTAACCTTTTTCATACAGGAACAGGTGATTTAAACACTGATGCTGTGGGACTGCAAGGACCTGTGAAATACAAAGCAGGAGTGCCAACTGCTATGATGCAACATTGAGGTTGCAAAGTTCATCCTTCTTCATAGAGGGTGCTAACAAAAATGTTATGATGTAAAATGCATGCGCACAACACAGAACATAATTTAGTTGTTAGTTACATGAAAACATGCAAATAGCTTCTGACATGCAAGTGCCCTAAATCCTTCCCTACATGAAAAAATGGACAGTTCAGTTATACTTGTACATATATTGTCTCTCCATGTTCTCTTAAATTTGTATTATTACTGCTGTACAGGGGGGAAATATGTCTCTATGGAACTGTGACGTCTAATACAGCCTCCAGATGACACATGAATGGACATGAAGCAGCAATGGAAAGATACTGACGGGAAAATCTGTCCTAGTCCCACTTTTTCCACCACATGGACTGCCATGGGTGTGAATCTGGGCCTCGGTAAGAAATCAGTGACTAACCACCTGAGCTAAGGCAGAACTCTTTAAATTGCATGAAAGCATTGTTATTCATGCAGTTTTGTCATCTTCAGGAAATAATGTATGAGTATTGTGTGCCAGAAGGACATGAAATTAATGGAACATTCTGATTGGATTGGTGGTTTACAATGAAAATGCAAAAGTTATGTAGCCAATAAAAATTATGAAGCTCACTGCAATAAAAAGAAGAGTTGTGATCTGCTCGTACATGACATCACTAACTGCTGATTATTATTTGGTAACCAATTTAGATAGAGTGCTGACAGGGCTCCAGTTTTTTTGCGTATTCTACCACATTCCACAGAGACTTACTGGTCAGGCTATTCCTTGTGGAAGACGCGTTACCCTGGGATACTGCTGTCGATCAGTATGGTCTTTGGTACACAATGAAGCTATGTAATGAAGTCAGTAAATGTACTTAAACCCGCCTTATGGACTAACCACATCTCATATGTTTAATAATGGTATGGTTACAATTTAAATATATAAAAATTCATGTAATGGTGGCAGATTAGGTGCACATCGCAATGAATAAGTAATTTTGAGATGTATCAAACATTTACCAGAAAAATATATATTTTTAATTAATAATGTATTAACAGATAATATATTCAAGCAGTGTGGTATATTCCTTCTTTGAAGGTAAAATATAAATATATTTCACAATTACAATATTTAGAGTACACTAAAAATAAAAAAAATAGCTATATTTTGAATAGAAAGCAGAAAAGTGACTTCTTGTGTTTTCCTTTGGATCATCTTATTTAAATACATTCGAACATCTCTGAGTAATCTTAAAACTTTGCATACCATGTGGTGTATTAGATTATAAAATAAGCAAACAAACAAACTATTAACACTATAAATGGCACTAGTGCCAAATGCATTTCAACCACAAGAGGTCATGATCAGTGGCAACAGGGAATTAATTCATAATCAAAAATGGTTTAAAAAACAAATCATGATGACCTCTTGAGGTCGAAACCCGTTTGGCACTAGTGTCATTTATAGTGCTAATAGTTTGTTTCTTTGCTTATTTTATATCTCTGAGTAGTGACATTTCAACATAAAGAATTTCCTGAACGCGAAATTTGAAATATAAATGCAGTTATGGTAACTAAATATAAGAATTAAGAAAAACAAGAATGAGAGTACTTCTGGCACACATTCTGACTTCCCAGTTCCGGTAATACTTGAGCCATTTTCTGCAATATTTTCAGTTGTACTTCAGTGCCAGCAGCAAACTAATGGACCACACCAATTAATTATCTCCAACTGCGTGGACAGTTCTTTTCATCAGACATGTCTCCACAGTTGTCAGTCCCATCACATACAGCTTGTTTCTTAATACAGCGACCATTTCTGTAAACATGAATAACATAAATCCATTTAATGGAGAATGTTTTAATTTTCTGATCATGTCTCAACTACTATGCCAGAAAAATCATCATGGAATACTTTTCAGTCAGCAGAAAACATTTGTCTATATTTGAAACTGAAAGAAACATCAATGTTCCAATGTATGAACTACCTGCTACAATGTTCCCTGTCAACACCAGAATGCCTGAAGAGTAAGACATGCCCTTTCTTACCAAAGTAATAACAAGCCAGACTTACCCACACTTCCATTCATGACTTTTACATTCTCCTCCACAGCCAAACGGTTCATCTGACTTGTCCTCACAGTCTGAGATCCCATCACAGAACTGAGCATGTGGAATACACTGACCATCATTGCAGGTGAACTGGTTTGTAGTAGGACATGCTGGTACATATGAAAAAGTGTTAACACATTATGTGTGTTCTGATAGTTCAGTTCTATTCATTTACACAACATGTGCTTCTACTTTCCTTCAAATGCCCCATTCTAAATAAAAGTACTAGTAAATTTGTACCTGTATGATTTTCAAACTTCCAGCTAGAATAGATTTTAATTAACTAAACATCGCCCGAGAGAATTTTAATTAATTTCTCTGCAAGGTCATAGGAAGAAATTACAGGCAATTTTCAATTGAAATCAATGTTTGAACACATTACCAACATTTGATAAATTTCTGAATAGAGACAGTCAATATCTGCACTTTAATCTCTATGAACAGGCCTCATGAATTTACTGTTCTTAGTAACATCTTCCCTGCCAGAGCCACTATATAAATTTTGTCTCATTCTGAATCAGAGGATTATTGTTACCAGAAATCACTATTTGCATTCAAATTTGCAATACAGTTGCATTTTTACATTAAAGAGCCAAAATCAAGACAAAAGAATATAACAATGTTCACAAGACTGACATCTAGCAACTGAGTTGATATAAAAGAAAGAAATCTGGCTTAAAATGATGGACTGGATAATGAAGCTTTTAGCAAATCCCGACATACTGTCCGACAGGCAGAGGAATGTGTTTTATATGGTTAATGTTATAGTTATGAAAGAAAGAAAAATTTATACATATTTATAAGCCAATCACAAACCAAATGTCACTTGTACAGCTACAGTGATCCAAATGTGGCCACAGAAAATATTTGTTTGATAATTGCTAAACCTGACTGAACAATATGCAGTACAATTTCTATTGATCTCTCATACCAGAGGTGCAGTTGAGCTCATCAGAACCATCCCAACAGTCTATAATACCATTGCATTTCTTCTTGAGCGGAAGACAGGAAGTGTTGTTGCCACAGTGAAAATGGGATGTCATATTGCATGCTAAAATTAAAACAGTAGAAACAAGTTACTGATTTAGTTCAGAGCATTTGAAGCATAGGTAAGTTCAATTAACCATCTGAACCAAGGTGTGATGACATTACTTTCATACATACAGTTAACGATTCAAGTTAGGTTTCCAGATTTTATCTTTTTACTAAAAACTCTATAAAACTACAAGTTTTTGGTCTGTGTTCTTATTGGTGGTATGGTTGGTTGACATAACTGAGTTTTGCTTTGACTGTGTGGTGAACTGATACCATTTCTGGGGTAGGGTGTCTAGTTTACATGTATTAACTAAGTGTTACTGCTGAATGTTTGAAACCAGAGATCCAGTGATAAGACCATCTGACTACAAAACAAATTATACTCCTTTATATGTCTCTTGGCCAAGCCGTGGATAATGATTAAAAATTTTGGAAGCAGCTGTTGGTGTGCAGGTGACTGGTGATTATTTGTTGGTAACGGGACAGTGTTCTCTGAGAGTTTGATTCTGGCAATGGACAAGAACAGAGAGAAAGACTGCTCGTGGCTGCAGGAATGGGATGTAACATAAAAGAAACTACTCGTATGTCACTAACTAGACCCGTTATTTATTTACTCCTTTATGAGACATGTAAAGAGAACAGTGACTGAAGCCATACAAACAATACCAGATAAATCGTTCAGAAAATAAATGAGCTTTGAGAAAAGTATTTACACAGTTTCAAGGCTTCACTTGTGCAATGATCATTCAGTTGTTTTCCTTCTTTGAAGTCTAATACCACATTTATATTTCCTTTCATGGAACTGAGCTTCTTAGAAATGTTTTTCCACCCCTGTATATGCTAATGTTACTCTATCAATTGCAGATATCACACTACACTGAATAAAATGATGATGATGGTAGTGGCAGTGATATAATAATAATAATAATAGGTTTGGCGTTTTAGCCTGGTATGGCTCCAAATGTAATTCTTAAGGGTCCATTTTAACATTTCTATTACTTACGATATAGCTCATGAACATATTAATAAATCTTTTGGTTCCATGAAAGTCGAGGAATTTCTTAATTAGTTGGTGGATTATTTGTGTCTTTAAAACTGGAGTAATATAAATTATATAGAGAACACTAAATCTATTATAAGTGTGTTCTAAAACCCATAATGAAAAAATGCACTCTGTAAAACACTTACTGCAATCAAATTCATCAGTATGGTCATAACAGTTCATATGACCATCACACCTCTTCTCCTGTGGGATGCAAAGATGGTTTGAGCAGCGCCACTCTGTTGGGAGGCAGTAGGAATCATCCAGACATCTGAAAAATTGCAGTATCCCAGTTCATGTGCAACAGATCTCCATACACCCAGAATCTTGTAACCAAGATTGATAGAAACTAACTATAATCCAGTTTATTCCAAACAAGAAAATGGTATGGATGGTCTGGCCTGTAAAATGACATAACTGATCCTTCTCATAAGAAACAAGTGTTCTGCTACGAAAATGAACTAAACTGGAAAGATGCCATTCTAGGAACATCATACATCATTCGAAAGACGCTCATGTAAAATATATAATGCCTCACACGAAATCTGTTTAATGCATATAACACTCATTAAAAAATGTATTTCAAAAATAACTGCTGTACTATGTACCTCAGGGGCAAGGTTTGTCTGAGGTATATAGAATTAAATACCCTGAAAAATGGTGAATAGATGGAATAATAATAATAGTATCATTTGGAACTGTACCTGAAAGCATCTACATCAAGTTTGTTGCAGAACTGTGTATTGATGAGGCAATGACCCCCACAACCTGTTGGGTCACCAGGGTCATGAGGCTGTCTACAGGTTGGCACATCTTCACCACAGAGTGCCACACACACTTCACCAGGCAAGCACTCATCACAGTGGCGATATGATGGCAGTGACAGATCTGCCCAACAAGTCCATATCATGGAGACTATTAATAACCAGTATTGTCATGTGACATCAATGCTAATGTGGATCCCATTTCTGGGTGATGACACCATTTAGAAATAGGCTGCATTCTTGACATTTCAGACATCCTTATTGTGTCCATCTTCAGGGCAAAGTTATTTCCTAACGGCCCTCGCTGATACTTAAGAAACAGGTTCATAAACTAATGAAATTGATTAGATTAATTTGTTTTGGTAACATCCAATGGAAAATGAGACAGAAAAATAAGGCCCTTTAAAGGTATATCTTTCTGATTCACTCTCACTTTGCTACCACTTGACAAATCTAAAAAAGCAGTTCCCACTAGCTTGTGGCCCTGATCTATTAAACTGGAAGAAACATTAGGCAGTTACTTCACATTAAATAAGTATTTTGAAATACTGGCAAAGCAGTCTACTACATGATGTCATCACACAAAAACAGGACTATTCACATTCGTAATGGACTGCCATGAAAGCTTGAAATCTTCTACAACTGACATCAATTTCCAGATATCATATGAACTTGAAAATAATAGCAGTACAGTCTTGAAAAGAAGCTGTACGGAGCTGACAGGAATGGCCTTTGTATCAACTGTGTAAAATTATCTTTACTTGCAATGTCTAACATCAAGGCATCTTGACACACAGTTCTTAAATGCGAATGCCCATATTTACAAGATAATAAACAAGAAGTTCTAAGAAAAAAATATTCATAATTTTCTTCAAATGATTCAATCTATATGGTGGGATTGGCAGGAAGTGTAAACTAATAATTATACAATGCAGTGATCAATTTATGTGCTTTATTTTCATCAACACACATTCTATGTTAAATTTGCCAGGTTTCTTAAATTGATATTTTTGTATTTCCAACATATTTGTAATTGTTAACATATAAAAGGATTTCATACAAAATATATATTATGATCTATTTCCATACAAAATTTCACATGCCTGTAATAGTTCCTTATTTGTATTCATCAAACAGATAACTAACTATTGTTAAGTATTGCATTAGACTGATAAAGTACAAAATGAGCTGGTCTTGGACAGGATAGACGAAGGAAGAAGTCTGTGGAAAAATCTTACAAGAAGAAGAGATATGATGGTGGGACACATTCTGAGACACCCAGGATTGGTTAATTTGGTAATGGAAGGAACAGTTGAAGGGAAGAATTGTAGGGGGAGACAAAGACTGGAATATGTGACGCAGATTTCTGAGGATGTGGGCTGCAAAAATTATGTAGAAATGAAGAGATTGGCGCAAGATAGGCAAAAATGGAGGACCTCATCAAACCAGTCGAAAGACTGATGACAAACAAACAATTGCATTAGATTGTTTTTTGATAAAACATTAATTTCATATTACTTTAAGATACAAATGAATACCACTTACCCATAACTGGTATTGTTGAACGTCTGCTGGAGTTTATTAATGTTGCGTTATCTCCGACAGCATGAAGGTGATCTGTCGTTTGCATGGTAACTGTATTCCCCTCAATTACATCTACACTGGAAGAACTGGATGCTGCAGGTGGTTGAACTGTCATATCTACACTTATGTCATTGGAGACGACCTCACCTTCGAGCACCCTCGATGACAGAACTGTCACTGTACTCATGTTTTCACAGTCTCTCACTTCGAGGTCACCTCCGGCCTGCTCTAGCAACAAGCAGGGCTCAATGTTTGAGAGTACATCTCCCACTCCTCTGTCCAAGCGACATAACCTGCTTCGTATCTGGGTGTTTTTGGACAGCGCTGATGGAGCGTTGCAGTCACTCCATTCAGACCATGATGACCATCCAGGAAGAAGTGCTGGGTCTGGTGTCTGCTCGGGCAGAGATGCCATATCCACCACAGCTAAAATGTAACAGCAGAATTGGAAAGTATTGTTTTCTGCTATTTTTAATTAATGGTACAGAGATTTCTAGTTGCTGAATCTGTCACATGAAATATGTAATATAAAGTCTAAGTGAAAGGATTTTGGACAGTTAATTTTAATCATCATCATCATCTTCTAGCTGTCAAGGATTTTACGCCTTGTGACCATTCCGGCCTCAGTCACCCAGGAATCTTTTTAAAGGGCGTCCTTTGTTTATTTTTCCTATTGGTTTATGTTTCAAAATTTGATGTGGCAATCTGTCCTTGTCCATTCTTCGTACGTGTTGGATAAAGTTCCTTCTGTATCTGTGGATTTTTTCCAATATTGGCTCTGTTTGTAGTTCTTTGTGGATGACATCATTTAACAAGGACAACACTACCACTATATTGACACATTTTAAGCCCTTAAGATGGAGACAGTATGTTTCTCCACAATATTTGTATCTACATTCGTGTCTACATGAAATCATAATAAAAAAGGACATTAAAGGGAATTAAAATTAATGTTCTGAACACGAAATTAAAAGGAAAACACCCAAGAGGGAGACCAGGATCAAGAAGTGAACAACAGTTTAGGAAACATATCACACAGAATGAAAGAAGACTGAGAAGAAACCAGACATACAGCATTTAGTCTAGTTATTGTATTGTTTAAGTTATCTCATCTACTAAAAATAAACTAACAAAAACGAAGGTTGTCTTGTGTGCTTGCTATCTTTGCTGCTTAAGCCTCTCATCACTTTCTTAGCCAATCAGAAATTCTCAAATGTGTCATGAATTTCTGCAATATTGTAAGGAGTGGAAATTACATACCAACAAAGCCTATTGATTGTACATCAACAGCAAAATTTCCCAGCCACATTTGACCGTGATGATGTTGCAGTCCTCGCAGGAATTCCAGGCCTGCCTGGTTTGCTGCCTCGCCATTTGGAGGGGCTGACAATAACACCAGTTTGAACTGTACCAGAATACCACCGGTTCCTGACTTCTTAAAACAGTCACTGAATTGTGTCACATGTGAGTGATTGTAGTGTACAGACAGCGTGCTGGCACTGAAGAGGATGTTGAGCTGAAAATTTTTAAATTTCAATGTCAAATTATTATAAGAAAAGATTGGTCCTCTCAATATGAGTAATGCAAATGATCAGCACGATGTTAGTCAAGTTATATAAAGACAATAATTGCAAATATCACATATTACGTTTTATAGTGTTTACTTTACTTTCTCCTTCATATTCTTGGCTTAAATATAAAATGAATCAGTCATCCAATGTGCTTCATAAATTAGTTCACAACTGCCTTCTACGTGCACAAAAAGTTACATCTGTCAGCTACAAAGTACATCATAACACATTTAAATTATAAAGTGTTCAATTATAAATTCAATCCATGTACTGTATATTTAATAGTCTTTATAATATATTAAATAAATTTATGTTTACCTGTTGTGTTATCTGAGCAACTAGTTGCTTGAAGTCTGCTGAAGTTTCATCCTTCAGACTAGACTCATACCGCTCATTTGTTATTCGGAACTCGCCAGCTACCACATTCACGCCTGCAAACAAATGACAAGAGTAAATCTTCACTCTTTAAAAATAGTATAATCCCCCATCTCATTTTATTAATTAACATTTGAAGAGAAAAAAAAAATACAAATTTGCAATATAATTCTCCTACTTGGTCTACAAGGGAAACAGAATCATATCCTCAAAAGTTGTGGTCAAACACATCAACAGAGCACCAAGACCTATAATAATTCTCAATTTATTACGCCATTCCCCATTTGACTGTCTGCCCAAGAATTTTGATATTTTCTAATTTGGAGGTGAATACCCTGAGTAAATGCCAGAGCTATGGTTATATTTTTACTTGAAAGTCTTTCTTCCTCTGTTTCTCTTCCTTTCTTTCAGGAATGAAGGCTGTAGACATGTGAACATAACCTCCCTATATGTGTTCTCATCTTACACTCTATGCATGTAATTGACAAGAATCATTCACAGGTAACATCATGATCCTTCAGCTTTCAGTTTTATGTTTATGCTTCCTAGTTGGCCATTTCTCCATTAGTAATGCACCGTATTGTTCAGTACTGGTCAATTTTATTACAGGGCTCCAAATATTTCAATGTAAAAATTGTGATTCGGTAACTAAAATAAGCAAGGGACTGGTGCTTGAGAATTTGGGTCTAAAAATAAGTCCCGAATCGTAATAAAATAGTACCGAGACGGTGACAAAACCTATATCCAACAAAAGCAATCGATCGATGGTCACTAACCTCGTGCACTCACATTTTGAGGTGCGGCAGATGATGCAGGCGTTCTGATACGGCACAATTCGTGATGTTTAATCCACCCGACTGCATGCCAATCAATGCTCGGACATTGACAGAATATACAATAAACAAACAGTTGGAACTTCTACTTGGGTGTCATGGCTACGACATACGCGACCTTCCCACCCAACAGTCCACGAGCGTTGGTAGATAATTTGCAGGGGGGAAAAATCTATTTTCTATGGGTCGTAGGGAAACAGGGTGCAAGGCTGTGGATTGGATCATCTGGCTCGGGACACAGTACAGTGGCGGGCTCTCGTGAATAAGTAATGAACGTGACATTTCAGGTTCTCGTTACGGCGAGTATAAAGATGACTGTCTTTGGGGATGTTGCAGTGTGCAGTCTGGTAGAACTTTACCGACGCTACTTTAGTGCCACAAATGCTTGTTTAGTGGAATAAAAACCAGGTCTTACTGTACTGCACCTGTGACATATGGTGTAACGTGAGGGACTCGGCTTGTGTTTTTAGAGGGGAAGAAGAGAGGGGTGTATAACTTTGAATGGACGGGGCACAGCGGCGCTGTGGAGGTCCCGGAAACAAATGAGTCATATCATACTTTATCGTACTTCCGGTCTGGGGTAAGAGCTGCAGGGACACTTCCAGACTGGTGGTTGAAGGTCTGCTCAATGTACTAAGGTTTGGTTAGAAGGGCTACGATCCTGTCCTTTGCCGCAAATTAGGTTCAGCGCTTTGTAGTACGTACAGCAGGGATGCGACATCGGGTATCTCAGTAGTGACAATGTAATTTAAACATCGGGTAATGACTTTCACAGATCCCAAACTACTTGCACTGTTTTCATCACGAAGTTCGGTCGACCAACATTAGTGCTCCAAATTTAATAGAAATAGGTCAGGCATTTTCATATGTGAAAATTGCGAGATGATCGAGGGACAAACAAGATATGAACTCTGAATAATACATTAATCACGTTTTAAAAGCAGCAACAGAAATAAAATATCTACTCGTTTTCGTGACAGCGTAAGGTCTGAAAAACAGCACAATTTAGAGGGGGGTGTTCAGACCGTTTGCTGTCCAGAAAGAAATTATTCTGATCCGGTACACCACAACAGATATTTGTTCCACTCACCGGTTTCTGCAGCATCACAGCCTTCTGGCAGTTTCAAGGGAAACGAGTTCATAGCTGGAAAGAAAACCCATCGTTAGCGTGGTAAGATACAGTACAGAAACATATCAAGATAGCTAACAGATTACAATATCTGGGAACGACAGAAACAAATCAAAATTACATTCACGAAGAAATTAACAGCAGATTAAATTCGGAGGATGCTTGCTACCGTTTAGTGCAGAATCTTTCAAATCCCAGTCTCGTAACTCAACATCAACATCAGCGGAAACAATTTTACCTGTGTTACACGCGTTTGAAATTGGGGCAAAGAGAAAGCCATTCTTATGTGACCATTTATATTCATAACTACAAATTTCCTAAATTCCAGACATTATGAAGTGACTTGAACAGTTTGCTGTACTCTAAACACAGGCCTACTCACCACGTGACTCATCGTTCAATTGTTGCACGTGTCACATACTGCATGTAGTCTACACGAGCGTCATTGTTATAAACTACGCAACAATGAAACCGACCGACACCATCCAAACCAAATAGACTTATAGACGCTGATCCCGAAAGTAATTCTTTTTTATCCTCCGCCTACGTCTAGATCTCCTACGTGACCAACCGAATTCAGAAATGATTAAGTGCTGAAGATTATAACTGCACTTGGAGCTCCATAATTAAGTTAAATATTCTGTCCTTTAAACCAGTGGTATTCAAACTTTTTTGTTCGCGTACCCCCAGATATAATTTCTCTTTAACTTTGTATCCCCAAAGTTGTTCGTGTATAATTCAAGTTATACATAGTATATAATCTACATCTAAAATAAATTAAATAAATTACATCCAAAATAATGTTTTAAATCTGGCCCTGATCATTCAGTGCTTATCATAAAATAATATTTTCTTTAAATTTCACGTACCCCCTAAGATGTCTTCTCTTACCCCAGGTTGAATACCACTGCTTTAAACGACAGTGCTATTTGACTTCCTAGTGTCCCTTTGCCTCTGGCGACAAGGCTTGTTTTAGACCTTAAAGAATAATAATTTATGTAAATGATACAAAACGCAGCGTAATAATCCCGCAGTACATTAAAATGACTACAGTATGAATGTTTGTAGGCCTCCTGACCTGTCTTTGCGTAGATGACCAATCCTATGGCAACCAGGAGTAGAACGCAAGCCAGGAGTAGGATACAACATCCCGCAAGAGTCCTGCGCTTAGAGTGGTCACTCGG